TAATAAATTTAGGAATATTATAGCCAAGTTTATGATTAAATTATTCCAAACAGCTGCTGATGATCGTAACCGTTCAAAGTTCAAACTTTAAAGTGCCTTTATTGGTCTCCCATGGGAGAAATTTGCCTCGGATTAAAAAGACACGTTGCCCAAAAAAACAAAAACAAACGCTCCACATAAAACTCGTAAATTAAACTGGAGCGGCTGCATTTCCTGCTAAAATACAAAATGAAAGCTTGTTGCAGAATAACTTGCTGAGAAACAGCTGAAATCAGCTAAAAATGTGCTGAAATGGAATAACAAGCCTACATTTGCAGAAGAAAGCAGAAAGAACACATATTTGTTGAAACTAGTTTAAATTAGAAGAAAAATTATGAAAGCAGCTAAAAAAATAAAAAGAAGCTGAAATTAGCCAAAAAAATGTTGGGAAAGTAGCTGAAAGGCAGAAAGAAGCTTAAACTACTAGCAGGAAACTGAAAGGGCTCAAATGAGCTTAAAAATGTGGAATTAGCTGAAAAAGCTCAATTTAGCATGAAAACAGCTAAATAGTAGCAGAAATGTTTGAAACTAGCATAATTAGACTGAAAGGAGCATAAATGAGTTGAAATAAGTTGAAATAAGTTAATTAGTCTGAAAGCAGCAGAAGTTACCATGAAATACTTAAATTTATCTGAAAACAGCTGAAATTAGCTAAAAATGCTGAAAATAGCTTAAAAAAGGTACAACGAGCTTAAATTAGCAAAAGGAAGTGGAGAGAGCACAATTTTGTCCAGTTAGGCTGAAAAAAGCAGAAACAAGTAAAAATAATCTTTAAAAAGGTGAAATTAGAAATAAAACAGCTTAAAAGTGGCTAAAAGAAGCTTAAATTACCAGAAGCAAGTGGGGAGAACATATTTGTGCTGAATTAGGCTGAAAGGGTTGAAAGGAGTGCAGAAACTGTGGGATTAGCTGAAATAGCTAAAATTAGCATAAACAGCTAAGTGTTGTCTGAGCCAGAAGCATCCACAAAATATAAGCCGTCAGCTGTTCCAGATGTTTGGAACAACGTGTCCACTGGAAACCTGCTGCACGCTCCTCTCCACCCAGCAGGTTCATCAGTTTGCTCCACCTCTCAGCCGGTCCCTCCTCTGTCTTCGTCCCCTCGCCACCATGACAGTGGTTCAGAGTGAGGGAGCGATGGATGCTGGGCCTTCTCAGTAAATTCATCAGCATTTGGTGAAGATGAGTAGAACTCATATCTCCACACCTGCCTAAAACTTCTGCACAGCATCTTCCATCTGAACGTGTTCCAGGCGTTGAAGTTTTTGTTTCTCTACTTCAGCAGCACAAGTTTGAAACTGAAGAGATTTGAATGCCCCCCCCACCAGGAGAAGGTGAGGATGAGGATGGAGGTTGACAAAGGGAGGAAGGTCTTTTCGGTCTCTGCAGATGCTCCAGAGGAACCAGCAGCCGAACCAGCAGCCGAACGTTGACTCCAGTCAAGGTCGAACAAATGTTTCTAAGCTCGACTCGTCTTCAACCTTCCCTGCCACTCACTTCAGAGCGCACGCTCAAAAATTCATCTCATGCGCAACATTTTCCTCTGCTCATGATTCTGGGGGTGTCCTTCTGTCTTGTAAAGCGTCCCCCAGACATCCTTTTGTCTCTCCTGGGGGACAGAAGCTTTCTTCTTCCAGACCTTATTGATAACCGATGCGTCCGGGCACCTTTAAAACACACCGACCATGAACGGTGAGACTTCAGTCGGCTCAAAATAAAATCCATTTCTTTTGGACGTCGCTGGATTTCTCTGCATTTGTTTAAAGCGACGAGGCGTTTACTGAGGAGACGACGTGCAGGAGCTCAGACGACGTCTAGCAGTGTGAACGTAGGACAGACCACCTCATTACAGGAAGTGCCACTTCTCTAAACCTGCTGTTTGACGACCAGTTCTCAGAGTCTGAACATCGTTTAAATTAAAACAAACTCCTAACGACGTCTGAGGGACTGGAGCAACGTCTGAGGGACCGGAGCGACGTCTGAGGGACCGGAGCGACGTCTG